CCTTCAGCAGCCCTTCCCCCGTCTCCAGATGAGTAAACTGAGGCTCAGAGCATCAGCAACATGTCCGTTTGCACACAACCAAAAAGTGATGAAGCCGGGGTTCAAACCCAGGCAGGCTGGTGCCCAGAACCCCTGTCCATCTCAGCAGACAACCTGAGGTCACGCTCCTCAGTCATTCAACACATGCTCAGGAAATCACTACCGTGTGCTCTGGCTGCTGGGAGAGGGCTGGGGAATGAGGAGGGCTGGGCAGGCTTGCCTGCGGGTGCCCCTGGCACCTGGTGAACGAAGTCACAGGTGGGAAGCAGTGCCCTGCCAGCAGCTCAGAGCTGCCTCGCTTGCTCTCTCGGTCACCCCAGCATAGCCACACAAACGCCATTTTGGCCCTGGCCGGTTTGGCTCAACTGTTAAGAGCATTGGCCTGCGGACCAATGAGTCGCAGGTTCAATTCCGGCCAAGGGCACTACCTTGGTTGCGGTTTGTCCTCGGCTTTGATCAGGGTCATGCGGGAAGCAACCAGTTGACGTGTCCTCACAGTGATTTCTCTCCCCCCCCTCCCCACTCTGTCTGAAGATATTTGAAAAAGTATCCTCAGGTGAGGATTTAAAAAAACAAACACTATTTTGTGTGCACACAGCCCAGCAGACTTCCATCGCGGCCTCAAGGCCGCCCCAGTCTGCCTCTCTCCGGCCAGTGGAAGCCCAGGACAGCAGGGACCTGTGTCCCGTACTCTTCCCTGGACTTAGAAAAGCTTGTCTAATGTGTTGAATGAGCGAATGACTGAGCTCTGGCGATTCCTGCGACTTCGATCCTAACCAGTTGGGTTAGAAGTGGTGGTTGAACTGAAGAAACTTTCCAACAGATAATTAAATTTGTTTTTCTTTATTGATTTTAGAGAGGAAGGGAGAGGGAGAGATAGAAACATTGAGAAGAGAGAACATCGACTGGCCGCCTCCTGCACGCCCCCCCACTGGGGATTTGGCCCACAACCTGGGCATGTGTCCTGACCAGGAATTGAACCAGCGACTTCTTGGGGCCACTGAGCCACACCAGCCAGGTGCAACAAATAATAATTATTATTATTATTTTTTATCCTCACCCGAGGACATTTATCCATTTTTTGTTCAGATAGAGTGGGAGGGAAAGAGGAAGAGAGAGAGAGAAAAACATAGATGTGAAAGGGACACATCGAGTGGCTGCCACCTGCAGGACCCAACCAGGGCCAGGGACAAACTGCAACCGAGGTACATGCCCTTAGCGGGAACTGAACCCGGGTCTCTCTGGACCACAGGCCGATGCTCTAACCGCTGAGCCAAAGCAGCCAGGGCTAAATAATTATTTTAAATGTTTGAGATGTTCACCACCTTCCTCTGTTCCCTACCTGCCCTCCCCCCACATTCCCACACACTTATGCACTTGTGGGAGGCCACCTCTAATGTGGGATATGGCGAAGACTAAGAATCTAGGGTTTGAAAGGGTATGAAGAGAGCACCTCATCCAATCCCCTCATTTAAAAAAAAAAATAGGTGAATACTTTTTTAAAAAATTTTATTTTAGCCCTGGCCGGTTTGGCTCAGCGGTTAGAGCGTCGGCCTGCGGTCTGGAGAGACCCGGGTTCGGTTCCCGCTAAGGGCACGTACTTCGGTTGCAGTTTGTCCCCGGCCCTGGTTGGGTCGTGCGGGTGGCAGCCACTCGATGTGTCCCTTCACGTCAATGTTTCTCTCTCTCTCTCCCTTCCTCTCTCTCCCTCCCACTCTATCTGTACAAAAAATGGAAAAGTATCCTCGGGTGAGGATAAAAAAAAAAAAAAATATTTTATTTTTAGAGAGAGATAGAAACATCGATGAAAGAGAACTATTTGCCGCCTCCTGCATGCCCCCCGCTGGGGATCGGGCCCACAACCTGGGCATGTGCCCTGACCAGGAATTGAACTGCCAACCTCTTGGTGCAGGGGTCGATGCTCAACCACTGAGCCACAACAGCCGGGCCAATCCCCTCATTTTAACAAGGGGAAACTGAGGCCCAGAGGAGTCTTGAGCTGCTTGAGGCTGTGAGTAGGACTGGAGCTTCCCCCAGGCCTCCTGACTTCTGGCACAGATCCCAGTCTTTGGGTCCCTATACTCATCCCCCCCAACACAAAGGGCTCTTGTGCCGCACTGGGAACCCTCCCTTCTGGACCAGAGAGGCCTTGTTGCTGTGCCACCTGAGAGCCTGGAGACTGCTTGACCCCAGACTGGAGGGCTCCCTTCTGGCCCCGTAGCCCAGGGGAAGCTAGACAGCCAATTACGGCAGGGCCGGTGTGACTCAGTTATTAGAGTGTCACCTCATGCCACCAGCAGCCGCAGAAACAGGGAGGGACTCGCACGAAGCTACCGAGCGGACCCATGTTGAAGCACAGACTAGAAACCCAGGCCTCCTGACTCCCCGCTCTAGGCTCCTTTCTTTGTCTGAACCCTTCAGAAGGGCCAATTCCGACTCCGGCAGGTGTGTGTGTGACAGAAGAAAGTCCTAAAGAGTTTGCCCCCTCTCCCCAGGGCCTGGCTCCAAAGACCTCAAGGCCACAGGACCCTGCAGGCCTAGGGGTCGGGGGCAGACACGCCCGTGTGATTCTTCAGCTGCCTTTCCTGGCCTCCAGGGAGCTCTGGCGTCTGTCTCCTCCTGCTGGGGCGCTCAGGCAGCGGTGCGGGCAGAGGGCTGAGGCCAAGCCGACTCACACTGGGGTAAAAGCAGGGACAGACCCTGGGAGGAGGAGAGGTAAGGAGGAGGTGGCTGTGCTAGGGTCTTCTGTTCTGGCAGAACGCGGGGGGCGCAGCTCTCGTCCAGGGAAGGGTGGGGCTGCGGGCAGAGAGCTATGCCGAGGGACTTGGAGGCAGCGCCCCTTCACCTGGACCACACGTTTATCCACTGAAAACAGCTGCTGACCATCTACTGCGGGCCAGGCCCTGTGTGAGGCACGGGGATACAGCAACAGACCTAGCAGACATGGTCCATGTGCTCAAGAGCTGACATACTACTAGTGGGGAAGACGGCATTAAACAAACGTGCACACGTGTGGAATGGAGTTGTGCTAAGTGCTGTGACTTAGCTAGAGAGTCGGGGAGACACGGGGCAGGGGGCAGAGGCTTACTGATGGAAGCTGAGCCCTAGGAAAAGGGGTCAGCATGTGAGAAGGGGGAAGAACATTTCTGGTGGTAGGATTAGCCTATGCAGATCCCAAGATGGAAAAGGATGTGGTGGGTTCAGGGAACTGAGGGGCTGCGGAGGAAGGCCAGAGGCAGGTGAAGAGGTGGCTGGGCCGGCTCCTGCAGGTTTGGGGTAAAAAGTTTGGATTTTGCCCTGGCCGGTGTGGTTCAGTGGTTAGAGCGCTGGCCCGCAGAAGAGAGAGTCCTGGGTTCGGTTCCTGCTAAAGGCACGTGCCTCGGTTGAGGTTTGTCCCCAGCCCCGGTTGGGGTTGTGTGGGTGGCAACCAATCAATGTGTCTCTCACATCGATGTTTCTCTCTCTCTCTCCCTCCCTCCCTCCTGCTCTATCTGAAGAGATAAATGGAAAAATTATCCTTGGGTGAGGATTAAAAAAAAAAAAGTTTGAATTTTATGGGAAGTGTAGAAGTTGGAAACCACTGGAGATCTAAACAAGGGAGGGAAAGACATGACCTGATTGGCATTTTAGTAAGGTCACCTTGGTGCCTCTGGAGAGTGGACTGGAGGAGACAGGCTGGAGGCAGACCACTCAGAGAGTTCCCACAGCCAGGGGTCCAGGTGAGAAATGATGGTGTCCTAAGCCAGGATGACGGCTCTGGAGATGGGAGAGGAAGCTTTAAGTTGTCATCTGTTTGGGAGATAGAGGAGTCAGGACGAGCCAACAAATTGTGGTATTTGGGGCAAGGGGAAGGTGGGGTCAAGGATGACTCCGTTTACCGCCCTAAATCCCTGCAGAGGTGGCCCCCTTACACTGATCCCTCTGGAAGACAAGAATAACCTCCCTGGGTGCTCTAAGGAAGCCTGGGGAGGGAGGGGAGCGGAGGGCAAGGATGGGGGGAAACAAAGTGGGGTCCACAACCGCAGGTTAGGGGTTGGGAGGGCAAGGGGTCTCCGACAGATATATCCTCCACACTGCAGAGAGTACCGGAGGGGCAAGGCCAGGTCCGCCCTGAAGAACGCAGGGATGCACCGGCCCTTCAAAGCACCGCAGAGCCTTGGTGTTGCGGGAAACTAGAGGTCAGCGAGCGCCCCCAGGACTTCCCTTCCACATTACACAGGGGGACTGAAGCCCCGGGCCAGGGCAGACATCCCTGGCTGATGAAACCCTTCCTTTTGCAGTCTGGGTACGATCTACCCTCCTAAAACGCTGCCAGTGCTTCTCATTCGCGCCCCTGGTCATCGGGCAGCCCCGCCCCTCTGCGAGGCTCACAGACCCCTCCCCTCCCCTCCCCACGGGGTAAAGCCCCCAGACCGCCGAGCCCGTCCCCTCGCGTTCCCCAGCGAGGCACAGCCCCCGCCCGGCTGCCCGAGAGTCTGCTGGTCCGCGATCGGCGCAGGATCCTGGAAGCCAGCAGGAGCAGCCACCTCTCGCGACGGGGTCCGGCCGCCTTCGTCTCCTCCGTGCGGGGGGCTGCGGCTTGTGCCCGAGCCCCGGCCCGCACTGGGTGCATCAGTCTCGCGTGCACCCCGCACCCCCGACGGACACCCCGACGTCCGTACTGCGTTCCCGGCGCTCGGGGCGCAGTCGCCGCGGGACGCACGGCCCAGGCGCGCGGAGGGGCTCGGGCGGGCCTGGCCTGCACAGGAAGCCACCCGAGCCCGCGCCAGGGGCCCCGCGCACGTGACCCGCCCCGGCCCCGTCACGTGACAGCGGAGCTGGCGAGCGTTTCCCTCACGTGACAGCCCCGGGCGTGCGGACCAATGAGGAGGCGGAGCGGGGCTGTCAGGGGCGGTGCGCGCGAAGGGAACCGAGCGGTCCGGCCGCGAGCGCGGGGAGCCGCCCGCGCCCGCCAGCCGCCAGCCCGGCCCGCCACGGGCCCGCCTCCCTCCGGGGCAGCATGAAGTGTGTGGTCGCCGGCGGCAACGTGAAGGGTGAGCCGGGGCTCCCGGCGGGCGGGGCACGTGGGGCGGCCCGAGGCTCCAGCCTGACCCGGTTCTCTTCTCCCCACGCAGTGCTCGGCAAGGCCGTCCACTCTCTATCCCGTATCGGGGACGAGCTCTACCTGGAGCCCCTGGAAGACGGGGTGAGGGGCTGGGGAGGGAGGGGCTGGGATCCCAGCAGGGAGCCCTAACCTGGGCCCGAGTCCCGCCCAGCAGGGGGATGCTGTGGACAGACTGTCAGCCGAGTGTCAGCCTCAGTTTGGGCCCCGTCACCGTCCCAGGCCTGTGTGTGAATTGAGAGCAGGTGCGCTCCCTGAAGTGCGGGGTGGCGGGTGGGGTGACCAGGGGAAAGGCACCGTGTGCTGATGGCGAGGTGAGGCCTTTGGCGGTGGCACCTGTGCCGAGGCCAACCGGAGGAAGGCTTCATGGAGCAGATCTCCGACGCCGGGAAGGGGACAGAGGATTTCAACAGGTGATGGTGAAGGTGCAGGACATTAGGGCAAGTGTGTCAGCAAGAGCGGGCCAGAGGGCTGGGCCTGTCGCTGCCCCTGATGGCATCCGTCTCCCTGCTTTTCCTGGCCCAGCTCTCTCTCCGGACGGTGAACTCCTCCCGTTCTGCCTATGCCTGCTTCCTCTTTGCCCCGCTCTTCTTCCAGCTGTACCAGGTGGCCACCCCTGGTCAGGACACACTGCGATGCAAGATCCTGATGAAGGTGAGGTCTTCCTGCAGCAGCGGCACTGCAGCCCTCCACGGCCCCTGCCAGCAGTGTGGCTGCTCGGGGGCACCCAGTGGGTGCTGACAGGGGAGAGGTGTGTGTGCAGGGGCAATCCAGTGCACAGTGCAGTGAGGAGCACAATGAAGACACTCACAGAGGGGATGGCAGGTGTGGGTAATCGATCCTACCAGGGACCTGGAGAGTGGTGACGTTCAAGCAGGCCTTTCAGAGAGCAGCATAAACAAAGGCCTAGAAGTGTGTAAATGTCCAATGTGGTATGACAGTGCTGAGCCCCTGATGGGCCGGGGCCTACAGGAGACAGGAGAGCTGGTCACTGGAGGTGCAGTGCTGGCCTGAAGTGTTCCCCCTTCTTAGTCGTTCCTGTCCGTCTTCCGCTCACTGGTGATGCTGGAGAAGACAGTAGAGAAATGCTGCATCTCCATGAATGGCAGGAGCAGCCGCCTGGTGGTCCAGCTGCACTGCAAATATGGTGAGTGGGCAGCTGGCCAGCCAGAGGGGTCCCTGGGATGTGGGGGTGGAGGTTTGGCGAGGCCCTCTGAGACCCTGTCTGCTCATTCAGGGGTGAGGAAGACTCACAACCTGTCCTTCCAGGACTGTGAGTCCCTGCAGGCTGTCTTCGACCCAGCCTCATGTCCCTATGTGCTCCGGGCCGCAGCAAAGTAAGTATACACCCTGCCTGAAAGCTGAGCCCTAGGTCTCTGTCTTCCTTCTTTGGGGGCTCAAGGGTCAATTTAAAAAGGCCCCTCTCGCCCTGGCCGGTTTGGCTCAGCGGTTGGAGCGTCGGCCTGCGGTACAGAGAGACCCGGGTTCGGTTCCCGCTAAGGGCATGTACCTCGGTTGCAGTTTGTCCCCGGCCCTGGTTGGTCGTGCAGGTGGCAGCCACTCGATGTGTCCCTTTCACATCGATGTTTCTCTCTCTCTCTCTCTCCCTCCGCTCTATCTGAACAAAAAATGGAAAAATGTCCTCGGGTGAGGATAAAAAAAATAAAATAAAAAATAAATAAAAAGGCCCCTCTCCCATTTTCCCTGCAGGGTTTCTGTGAACCTCAGTGTTCGCCCAGCCCAGTTTGCTCCCAGGTCCTTTTCTGGCCCTGTGAGGGAAGAGGCTGAGTGGAGAAGCAGGGGCTCCCTTGCTGTGCTCCTGTCTTCAGAGCCTGTATTCTCACCCTGGGGGTCAGGCTTGTCTTTCTGGCCAGTCAGACCCCTTCTGACCTCTCTTCTAGAGAGGAGGTCTCTGGCCTGAGCAGCCTTGAAGGTTTGTCTGTAACCTTTATGGATCAGGGCTCAAAACCCTTCTTTGGCTTGGTTCTCCTTCTGGGGGTGTTCCCCATTCAAGGGCTGCCTCTCTTCCTACCTGCCCTGGCTCTAGCCTTGAGTCCTCAGGCCAAAGCAGGAGGCTTGGTGGGGAGGTATAGTCTAGGTGAACGGCCTACACAAGCAGCTTGGGGGCTGGGACCATCGGGGCAGTCCGCGCACCCGGGGGCTGGGAGATGAGGGCTCCAGTGGAGGCCCAGGTCCTGGGGAAGACCGTGCAGGGGAGTGGCTCCCTTCTCGGCCATGCTGGATGCTCTTGGCATTTAAGTCACCTAAAGTCTTTGTTCGTTTTTTTTTTATTCCTCACTCAAGGGTTTTCTCCATTTATCATCAGATGGAGTTGGAGGGAGGGAGAGAGAGAGAGAGAGACAGAGATAAACATGATGTGATAGAGCCACATCGACTGGTTGCTTCCACACCACCCCACCAGGGCCGGGGATGAACCACAACCAAGGTACATGCCCCTGACCAGAATCGAACCCACGACTCATTGGTCTGCGGGCCGACCCTCTAACCGCTGAGTCAAACTAGCCAGGACTTGTTCATTTCTTTTGGTAGGCACAGGTCGTGGTGACTGGAAGGTCCCTTTGGGTCCTGGCAGTGGTTTTCTGACAGTCTGGTTCGTTGGTAGCACTGCTCAGGTCTTCTTTGGGTAGAGAAAGAGGGAAAGCTGTCACGTCTGGTCCAGATTTTGTGGTTATTTCTCTCCTTTTAAACGAGTAATCTTTTTTTCTTATGGACAATTTAAAATACATGGAAAAGCAGATGTCAGCTCCTCCCAATTGTCTTGAGGCTAATTCTAAAGGTTATTTCATTTGTAACTATTTATTACTATGTATCCCTGAAAACAGGATGTGAGGGCTCTTTCTGAAGGCCGAGTTTATAAGCATAGGATGGGTCTAGTTTCTCACCCTGGATGTGCAGCCCATCCTTCCTGCTGCCTTCTCTGGGAGCTATTGTTGTCCTGTCTCTTGCAGGGGTCTTGGCTCCCATGACAGCCTGGGAGCTTTTGATGGGGCAGGAACCATGTCCTGCTCACCGTGTCCTCCTTCCTAGAGCATGCTAGGCCTGGCCTATGGCAGTTCCCCTTCATTGCTGGTGCATGTCACTGCCCTGCCTCAGGTCCTCTAAGAACAGAGACACTGGGCAGGGCCAAACCTTGGGTCTGATGCTCTGCCCTCCTCACAGGGTTCTCGGGGAGGCTGTTCTGCCCTTTCCCCTTGCACTGGCTGAAGTGACACTGGGCATTGGCCGTGGCCGCAGGGTCATCTTGCGCAGCTACCAGGAGGAGGAAACAGGTGAGGGAGCTGGAAATGGCCTGGGATGGGGAGCAGAGCTGGGGTGGGAGGGGCTAGGACCCATGGGCCCAGGTTCCTCCCGTTCCTGTCTGCACAGACAGCACCATCAAAGCCATGGTGACTGAGATGAGCATTGGGGAGGAGGACTTCCAACAGCTGCAGGCCCAAGAAGGGGTGGCCATCACTTTCTGCCTCAAAGAATTCCGGGTGAGGTTCCCCCCATACCCTCTCCTTCCCATCCTCCCTGCCCCACCCTCCCTACCCCACCTAAGCCCTCACTGCTCTGCCTCTCCCCTCCTAGGGGCTCCTGAGCTTCGCAGAGTCAGCAAATTTGTCTCTTAGCATTCACTTCGATGCTCCCGGCAGGTAATTCCCAGCCTCAGGACAGGGAGGGAAGGGCTCTGGGGTCCAGGAGCCGAAGGGCCCTTACCTCGTCTGGGACCCATCGTCTGCCCAGGCCCGCCATCTTTGCCATCAAGGACTCACTGCTGGATGGCCACTTTGTCCTGGCCACGCTCTCAGAGCCATCCCCGAACTCCCAGGACCTGTGCTCCCCGGAGCTCCGCCAGCCAGCACCTCAGCTCCAGGCGCACAGGTGAGGGTTCCCACGGGCCACTCCTCTCGCTTGTGCACCCTGGTCTGAGCCTGCCTCCAGCTTCAATACCTCCCCATACACACCTCCCCCCCCCCCCCACACACGCGCAGACACTTCCTGTAAGGCCCCAGCCCCCACAGTGCTCGCTGCTTCCAGCCCCACAGGCTCAGCCTTCCTGGTCAGCTGTGCTCAGAGATCCCTCCCACCCAGGGAAGTGTCCCCACGGTCAGCCTAGCTTCCTTCTCTGGCTGAGGCCTCCCCTCTGAGCCTCCTCCCAGGCCAGGAGGGAAAGGGGTTGCTAGAGGCAAGGGGCTGCCTAGGCTGGGAAGCAGGTGGCTGGAAGGGCAGGTGGGCTGGGGAGGATGGGCCCAGTATAGTTTAAGCAGAGGAAGTTTGGTCTGGCCCCCCGCCCAGCAGGTCCCTGGGCCCTAGTGCTCTCCAGCTCCTATCCCCTGGGAAGGTGAGGTATTGGGCCCCAAGTGGCCCAGTTCACCGGACTTGGCTGCTCCCCTCCCCCATCAGAGCTGAAGTGGCCCCCAGGATCCCTCCCTCAGGCCTCTACCTGAACTCTGATCAAAAGGCTACAGGCCCAGTCCCTCCAGGAAGCTGCCACTTAACCCCTGTATCCTCTCCTCCAACCAAATCAGGAAGTCATAAAACTAAGGCTTCACAGCACCCCTCCCAGATCTCCAAGGTGGGCTGTCTTCTTTCCCTGTTTCTCACTGACGTCATCTTTACCTGCAGCACCCCCAACCTGGATGACTTTGCTAATGACGACATTGACTCTTATATGATCGCCATGGAAACCACTGTGGGCAGCGAGAGCTCCCGAACACTCCCCCCCATTTCCCTCTCACCTGATTTCCAGCCCCCCTGCAACTCTGAGGAGGAAGATGAAGCTGAACCTGAGCTCAGTACAGTGCCTGGGACCCCGCCACCCAAGAAGGTAGGGGCTGGAGGTGGAGGCAGGGGATGGGAGGCCAGGAGGCAGTAGCCTCCAAAACTCACTCAGCTTCCTATTTTTGCAGTTCCGCTCACTGTTCTTTGGTTCCATCCTGGCCCCTGCACACTCCCCCCTGGGCCCCAGCCCTGTGCTGGCTGAAGACAGTGAGGGTGAAGGCTGAACTGAGAACCTCTTCTGTGTGCAGAGGTCCTGGACTAGATGAAGCCACAGCCCGCTTCTCAGTGCCAGCCAGAGGCGGGGCTAGGTTTCCGCTCTGCTGGGTGGTAAAGGTGGGCTGGGCTGGAGCTGAGCTGGCTGGTCCTGCTGCATCCCCATGTTCCAGTTGGCTATTGGTAACTGGCCTGGGTTCTGTCATGTCCCCTGAATTCCCAAACAATCATGTCTGTTTCCAGGCTTAGCACTGAGGGGGGAGGCCCCTTCACTTCTTACTCCAACCTTGTGAGGAAGGCTGCTGCCTTCTGTAAGAAAAAAATCACAGTGGGGCTCCTGCCCCTGCCGATCCACCTTTTCTGCCAATCATGACTTGTCCCTCCCCCAAATCCTGGGCACACCTCTGGGATCTCCTATGGCTAGCCGAGTGTTCTTGCTTTTTCAATATTCTTTGGCCTTTGCTGGGAATTCTAGGAGCCCCTGTGGACCTTAACGTGTGGCTGGGGTGGCCCCATGCCCAGCAAGCCTGCCCTCCCAAGGATGCCAGGCCCAGTGTTTGGGACAAGGGAGACAGGCCAGGGCAAGAATCCAGCTTTGACCTTTATTCAAGAGACCAGATGGGTTGCCCAGGATCCGGCTGCCAGCCCTGAGGCCAAGCAAGGCTGGAGACCCACAATCTGGCCCTGCTTTGCCCTGAGCTGCAGCCTCAGCCCCAGGATCCTGCTTGCAGCCACCAAGGCACAGGCAGAGGGAGCCCTGGGGGATTGGACACTGCTACTGATTCATTAAAAAAAGAAAAATACACCAAGGCTCCATGTTCCCTATGATGAGCAGGCTTAGGAAGCCAGCATGCCCCCACGGCTGTGTGGTTTCTGTACAATCCACCATCAGGCAGAAGGCGGGCACGTGGAGGCTATTTCTTGGCTTTGGCGGAGTTACGGGGTGGGGTGATGGGTCGGCCACCAGGGTTCAGGCCACTGAACTGCCCATATTTCCCCTTGTTCTTGTCGGCGGGCTTGAGGATCTAAGAAAAGACAACACTGGTCAGGTTCATGGGGCTGAGCCATGGGGCCACCAGCCCTTCCTTCCCCATCCCCACCTGGAAGGAGCACATGAGTGTCTCATCCACACTCATCATGGCGCCTGCATTGTCAAACTCGCCACAGTAGTTGGGAGCTGAGAAGAGTGTCACCAGCTGCCGCTTGGCAAAGAACTCATAGCCATCCTCTACCACCTGGACAAGGACGGAGCGGTCAGGCAGGCAGGTGCTGGGTGCCCAGGCCCCCTTCCCACCTGGACCAGAGCTGCCAGCCCACCTGGTGTGCCCGGCAAATGAGGTCCAAGTCGTGCTTATGCAAGAACTTGGCCACCACCTCAGCCCCGAAGGTAAAGGAGACACCACGGTCATTCTCGCCCCAGCCCTGCACGTCCTTGTCGGGGTCAGACCACAGCAGGTCACATAACAGCCCCTGGTCAGGCACATCTGTGGGCCGCATGATACGCCGAATCTGCTCCATGGACTGCAGGTCCGGGGAAAGGCCTGGAGGGCACAGGTGACACATCACTTCCACAAGCCTCTAAACAAGGACCCCCTCCCTCAGAAGCCCTGGCCAATCAGCCTCTGCCCCCCTCCCACTACCCCCTGGCCCCCTCCTGGACCCCTGGGAGTCCAGGCAGGCAAAACTCATTGCCTTCTGCCTCTTGGAGTCCCTGCCCTTTAGGAGTGCAGAGCTCCCCAGAAAGGGGGGCAAGCAAATTCCGTGCAGGATGCTGAGGCCACAACAGTGGAGAGTATAGCCTACCACCGAGGAGTGGGGAAACATCCTGCAATAAATGACATCCAAGCCCAGGCCCAGGGAGAGCTGTTCCGGCGACGGGGAACAGGTCCTCCAGCTGACAGCTTCTTCCCAAGGACACTTTTTCTTCACGTGAAGTCCCTCAGCAGGTGCCCCAGAGCCACCCTCACCTCCGTGGCAGCAGAAGATCTTCTCATCCACAATGGCAGCGATGGGCAGGCAGTTGAAGCAGTCGGTGAAGGTTTTCCACAGTTTAATGTTGTAGCGTCTCTTGCCTGCCCAGAGGAAGGGGATGTTTGTGAGAAGGCCCCAGGGCCCCCCAGTCCCCCCCACCTACCAGCCTTCCAGGAGTAATTCTACAGCAGCTGAGTCCATGGGACCCCCAGTTCCAATTCAGAACAATACTGGGGTTTCACCCCCACCCTATGAGCAGGACCAGACCGAGACGCGGTCTGGTTTATCTCAGCTTCTGGCCAGCAGAGTCCAGTCCAGATAGGCATCCTAAGTGCTTAAGTAACATGTACTAGAGAGAGTCACCAGACAGGGCCCTGCAGTAGAATGTGGACAGCCCTTCCGTCAGTAACCATTCACTGGACCCCTGCTGAGCGCCAGACCGCAGGGCAGCAGGGCAGGACTCGGCCTTCACTCGGCTCCCAGTCCAGCGGGTTTCTGTCAGACACATACCCCTACCACCAGGCCGACAATAGCAGGGAGAGTCTGTCGGGCCTTGGGCAGCCCGGGCACGAAGCCACTCACACTCATCGTAGAAGCCGTAGATGCGGTTGATGCTGGCACACTCGTGGTTCCCACGGAGCAGGAAGAAGTTCTCGGGGTACTTGATCTTATAGGCCAGCAGCAGGCAGATAGTCTCCAGTGACTGCTTGCCCCGGTCTACATAGTCCCCCAGGAAGAGGTAGTTGCTCTCTGGAGGGAAGCCCCCATATTCAAACAGCCTCAGAAGGTCGTAGTACTGGCCATGGATGTCACCTGTGACCCAGGGAACAGGGTCAGCACTAGGTACAAGTTCTAGACTTGAAACAAGGGCCAGCTTGGGCTCAAGATAGGAAGGACCCAGGGATTTGGGGGGCCAGTGCCACCTTCAGGAAGCAAAGGGGCCTGGGCAGGGGGGTCTCACCGCAGATTTTGAGGGGTGCCTCCAGCTCCAGAAGAATGGGCTGGCTCAGGAAAATCTCCCGGGATTTGAGGCACAGACCACGGATCTCGTTCTCTGTCAGCTGTACATTCTTTCCAGGCCGCGAACCCTGCACTGGAGGCAGAATGGGCGTCAGGACCCTGGTCCATCAGGCAGGAGGAGGGTGGGCGACACAGGCGCCCCAAGGGTACTCTCGGGGCGCTTAGGGCCTCCTGGGCCCCTCCTTGCCCGGGGCTGATGGTGCTGCTGAGCCTCCCAGGACAGGAGGCAGCCTCCCCAACTACCCACAAGGTGCTCAAAGAGGCTGCTGTGCGCACGGGCTGCGACCCCAAACCCCACACAGCGCGGGGCCTCCTCGGGGGTGGGGCCTATGCCTCGTAGGTTTCCCCTCACTCCAAGAAACCAGGCCAACCCGTGCCCCCGCAGCCCCGAACCCCACCCCAAGCGCGTCGCGAGTGGGGGGCGGCTGCGGGACCTCGCGGCCCGTCCCCGCCCAGTCTAAGCTGGCCCTGGGAGGGGCAGGCGCCCGCGCGCGCTACTTCCAGGCCGGGCGGGGGTCGGGGCGCAGCGGGCGCCGACCTCCCCCGCCCCCCGCCAACCTTCCAGCAGGCGCCCGATGATAGAGTCCAGGTTGAGCTTCTCGCTGTCGGACATGGCGGCTCTGCCGCTCCGGCCCAGCAGTTCCGGGCCCACTCCTGCCTCCCGCCCTCCGCTGCCTCCTTCCGGCCTGGCTCTCCTTCCGCCCTCCCGGGTCCGCCCCGCCCCGCCCCGCCCGCTTTCCCGGCCCGCTGCCCCAGCTCCATAGCGCCTCTGCTGGACCCCAGGCGCAACGGCCGCGGCGCCCGGGAGGCGGGGCTCCGGCCACGGGGCGGGGCTGGCATGGCTGGGGCGGGGCTGTGTCGGTGGGCGGGGCTTTATGGGAAGGGATTGAGTCTGGTTCCGCCCCTGCAGAATTACCCAGCCCCTTTCGGAAGATATGGGGCCGGAAGTACTGTGGAAGTTGTTTTTCTCTCTGTGGCTGAGCAGGAGTGGGCCTGGTGTGAGCACGTTGATAAGTTGATAATCATTTCCCAAACACTGTGCATTAAGTCCTTCAAGTGCAGAAAAAGGAAACTGAGGCCAAGAGATAGCAAGGGGCTGGTCTCATATTCACTGAGGACCTCTACCTCCTGAGTCTGTGGTCCCCCAGGTGGCTGACCCGGACCCAGGCGGCTGCTGCAGAACTCAACCCACATTAGCTCACACTGCCTGTGGTGCTATCTGAATTTATATTTGAGTAGCATAATAAGGCTGTATATTGTGTGCACATGGAATGTATTGCTTTGTAAAGAACAAACTTTAAATAAATCATATTGTCATTGGAACCCTGAACTGAGTGTTTTACATGCCAGTATCCTCAAAACTAGAAGCAGCCTGGCCTCTCCACCTCTGGCAGGCCCTGGCCCCATCACACCCAGCACAGGAACCCAACCAAGCCTGCAGCCACCCAGCCCAAGGGGTGGGTGGGAGGAGCTGATGGCCCAGGGGCACTGGGGTAGGCCGGAAGAGACTCAGAGAGGAAGGGGTGACCCCCCCACACACACTGGGGAGGGGCCCCCCAGTGGGTTGCTGAAGCTGTGACTGAGGAGGAAGTGAGAGGAGGAGGTGAGGTGCAGCAGGGAGGTAAGCTGGGCTGGTGGGGACGGGCTGGGCCTGGGGCTGGGTCTTTGTACAGAGGCCTGGCCTTTCTGCCACTTCAGGGCCTACACCCTCCAGAAGAGGGGACAGATGGGCTTGGTGACATACTCTGAAACCTCCTCCCTTTACCCCACAGCAGGTTCTGGGGCTGGGGACTGGCTCCCTGGGAGCCCAGGCCCCAGGCTGGCCAGGAACTGCCTCTCACACTGGTGGCTCTCCCCACATCTTGCAGCCTGTTGCATCGAGGGTCTGTGGCAGCATGGCCCAGGCCCTAGGTGAGGACCTGGTGCAGCCTTGCGAGCTGCAGGATGACTCCAGCTCTTTGGGGTCTGACTCAGAGCTGAATGGCCCGGGCCCATATCGCCAGGCTGACCGCTATGGCTTCATTGGGGGCAGCTCAGCAGAGCCAGGGTAAGTGGGGAAGGAAGAGGGGGGAGGGTGTGGGATTGAGGATGGATGCTAAGAGCTCAATTCCAGACTAAGGCCCAACCTCAAGGGTCCTGGGAGGGTCTGGGGACTCAGTGTCACCCCTTCTCAGGCTCCAGGTAGAATCCTAAGGATGACAGGGATAGGATGGGGTGTCCATTTATGTCTCTTTTACCCCCAGCTTCCAAGGGTTTGTACCCACCCTTGGAACCAAAAAGCCTTCCCCTTTTAATCTCTGGCCCAAGAATCCCAAATCTAAATCACAGAAACCCACACCTTTTCCTCTATTCTCCCCCTTTCCCAATATACAGATAGGATAACAAGTCCAGAGACACAAAGGAACTTGCCTGAGGTCACACAGCAGCTCAGAGACAGAACCAGACTCAAACTCAGGACTCCTGGCTTCTAGTACAGGACTCTATCCACTCAGCTTCCCCTATGAATTGTGTGTGTTCCTATCCTGGGGGACAGCCAACCAGGCCCTTCCCCCAACACACACCTACACACCCCCTTCAGTCTCTCCTGCTTCCGCCCACATAGGAGCCACATCCTTTCCTGTCTCCATGACAACTACTGGCAACTCCTGGGTGACAGGTCACCCACCCAGGTGTCGTGAGAGTGGCAGATGTGGGTTCCAGGGAACTGCTGCCCTGCACCCAGATGTCTGTACCATGTGCTCCTAGGCCAGGCCACCTTCCTGCAGACCTTATCCGGCAGAGGGAGATGAAGTGGGTGGAGATGACCTCGCACTGGGAGAAAACCATGTCCCGGCGGTACAAGAAGGTAAGAGGGACAGTGGCCCCACCGGGGCCTCCTTGGCTCATTCCCCTTTGCCTTGCTCAGGCCTAGGCAACCTTTACCCTCCTGTGTCCCAGCACCTCTGCCTTTTCTCCCTGCCACCCAACGTGGCCCTTGCCTGACGACAAGTTGTGGTTGGTACCTGCCAAGAAGAGCGGGGGGGGGGGGGGGGGGCTGGCCCAGCTGGCCCACTGGGTTCCTGGGCCTCACCCACAGGTGAAGATGCAGTGCCGGAAAGGCATCCCCTCAGCGCTTCGTGCCCGGTGCTGGCCCCTGCTGTGCGGGGCCCACGTGTGTCAGAAGAACAGCCCTGATACTTATAAGGTAAAGGCGTTGTCAGGGCTCCTACCTGCATTTCCCAGAGCCCCTTGCCACTCAGCCCTCACACCCACCTTCCTGCCCACCCACAGGAACTGGCCAAGGCCCCAGGAGACCCACAATGGATGGAGACCATCGGCCGGGACCTGCACCGCCAGTTCCCTCTGCACGAGATGTTTGTGTCACCCCAGGGTCATGGGTATGAGGCCAGTGATGCCCAGGGACCCCTAGCCTCACAACTCCAGTCATTTGGTCTAGCCACTGCCCCCAGCTTCATGTCTGCATCTCAGGGGACGCACACGGCTCGGGTGGTGAGGCCTGGGCAGAGGCTGCAGAGGGTGGGCAAGGGCCCTGGAGGACTGGCCCCTCATGGGGTCTTCTGGCACAGGCAGCAGGGGCTCCTGCAGGTGCTCAAGGCCTACACCCTGTATCGGCCGGAACAGGGCTACTGCCAGGCCCAGGGCCCTGTGGCCGCTGTGCTGCTCATGCATCTGCCCCCCGAGGTGAGTGCCCTAGCCCCGCGCCAGGGACCCAAGGCCCTGACCCCCCAACCCCACTGACCTTGTCCCCCACCCAAGGGACTCTAAATTCAGGTACCTGGACCCTTGATCCCCAACCCTAGTGACCTTGGGACCTAGTAATCCTGTGCCCTGGACCCATGACCTCCTAACCCTAGGAACCCTGACCTCAGGTCCCTGGGATCCTTGACTCCTAGATCCTGTCCTAGTGATCCAGGGCCTCGTTACTGCCACTCAGTGACCTTCAAGCCCAATAACCTTGACTCTGGAAACCTGGGACCCTTTACCTTTGCCCCTTGCCCAGATAACATGTAGGAGTCTGGAGGTTGTCTCCTTGACCTCATGACTCCTAGTTCTGAACCCTGTGACCATGATTCCCGGCCCAATGACCCCAAGAATCCGGTACTTGAACTCTGGAATCCTCCCAAGTCACCACAGATGGTGTCCAGGGCTTCCCCTGTGCCCCGTACCCGCCCCTGTGGTCCCCTGTGTGGTGGGCTCTCACGGTGTGTGCTCTGCCCTCAGGAGGCCTTCTGGTGCCTGGTGCAGATCTGCGAGCTTTACCTGCCCGGCTACTATGGGCCCCACATGGTGAGAGGCGGGATGAAGCCAGAGGGCGGAGGGGAGGGCTGGGCAGGCGGGCCTGGGGGCTGGAGGGCAGACGGCTGGGAGTGGAGGCGCTGACGAGTGGGCCGCAGGAGGCCGTGAGGCTGGACGCCGAGGTGTTCATGGCCCTGCTGCGGCGGCTGCTTCCACGTGTGCACAAGCACCTGCAGCAGGTGGGCGTCGGGCCCCTGCTCTACCTGCCCGAGTGGTTCCTGTGCCTGTTCGCCCGCTCCCTGCCCTTCCCCACAGTGCTGCGTGTCTGGGACGCCTTCCTCAGTGAGGGTGAGTGGGCCGCTGCCACGCAGGTGGGGGGCCGGGACTGTAGCCTTGGGGTGCTCGGTGCGCACAAGGAACAAGCCTGCCAGCTCTGCTCTGTCCGGCCCGCCATTGCCAATCCTGGCCCTGGGTCTGGGTGCCAGGATGTGTTGAGGGTGATGGCACCCTGCTGGCTCTGGGGAAACAGGCCAACCCCAGGCCACACTCTCCCAGTGTAACTGAATGGTAGCCCCCGCCCAACTGCAAGGGGGGCAGCTTCTACCTGGGGGAGGCTGGGCCAGGGATGCTCCTTCAAGGTAGATGGAGCAGAAGCAGGGACAGTCACAGCAGTGGAAGGGCTAAGGCACTGGCACAGGGGCACATGGCCAACGGTCGAGGTCCTCACCCCGGAGCCCAGTGCCTGCTTGGTGTGCGCTCACAAGGCCAGGCGCTGCCTGCACACTGGGGGGATGGGGATGGAAGGCTACTGCACCCAAATTAACAAGATATTTATAGACTGTCATAATTGCCATGAAGAAAATAAAGCAAGGGATGTGACTGTTAGGAGAGCAGCAGGAAGAGATTGCTGCTTTTATTTATATTTTTATGTTTTAATCCTCACCCAAGGATATTTTTCCATTTATCTCCAGAGAGAGTGGGAGGGTGGGAGAGAGAGGGAGAGAAACATCGACGTGAGAGGGACACATCGACTGGTTGCCTCCCTCACGACCCTGACCAGGGCCAGGGATGAACTGCAACTGAGGTATGTGCCCTTGGCCAGGATCGAACCCACGACTCTCTGGTCCATAGGCCGACGCTCTAACCACTGAGCAACCGGCCAGGGCAGGAGATTGCTGCTTCTAAAGAGGCCTGTGGCGCTCCGCGGAGGAGGCACACTCGCAGGGCAGTGTGGGGGCTGGGAGCCCAGGCAGTTCACCGTCCACAGCGTTCAGACTGCAGATGGCGTGGGAAGCACGGGCACGGAGAGGGGTGGATGTCTGGACCAGGCCAAGAACCGGGGAGTCAGGGCAGAGCTGAATTAGACGCTGGGTCTTTGGGGCTCTGCCTCAGTTCTCCCATCAGTAACCCATCTGCATTCTGATCCATGTGGGTTGTCCAGCAATCCAGTTAAAAATGGTAGAAATTAATCAGTACATTTGTTGGACACCTGCTGTGTGCCCAGTAGGCTCCAGGCTGGCTTAGAGCTCTGGCCATGGGTGTCCAGGTCGCCATCTATGGGTCACCTCCCCTCCAGCCTCAGACCTCCAGGGCGGCGCCTGACTGGTGTGGCTGAGCTGTTCTTGCCCTCTCCACTGACAACAAGCACTGCCGTGGGCTCCCTTCACAAAGATGGCATTAGTCGTCACATCACCTCTTTACAAGTCACAGTTGTTGCTTGACCTCGCTGGTCCCCTGACTGCTCTTCTCAGAAGACCCAAGGCCTGGAAGGGAGTCTGAGGGTTCTGGGCATGGCCCACGGCCAGAATCTTTCTGGAACCAGACTGAGCTGGACGGGCCTTAATGGGCATCGCCTGCCCAGCCCTTCCTGGTAGGGACCAGGAGCTGAGGCCCTGAGAGAGAAGGCTCTGTGTGAGGTTGTCAGTTGCCCCTGGCTCCTGGCAGGCGGCTCTGCTCAGGAGCATCTGTGCCTGCTGAGACACACTCACCAGTGACCCCAAACTGCACCCCTCTTCTCATTTCTTGCTCCGGGTTGTGGTCACAGAGCTGTGGGAGGGTGGAGGGGTCTGGCGGACTGTGAGCTGTGGTCACAGAGCTGTGGGAGGATGGAAGGGATCCAGTGGGTTGTGGGTTGTGGCTGTAGAGCTGGGGGAGGCGGGAGGGGTCTGGTGGAGAGGGCAGGTTCAGGTGCAGAACTGAGGAGGGGCGGGGCTGGCCCCACTGAGCGAGCCCTGGTCTGCAGGTGTGAAGGTGCTGTTCCGTGTGGGGCTGACGCTGGTGCGCCTGGCACTGGGCACCTCAGAACAGCGCCTGGCCTGCCCAGGGCTCCTGGAGACACTTGGTGCCCTCCGAGCCATCCCCCCTGCCCACCTTCAGGAGGAGATCTTCATGTCCCAGGTGGGTGCCCCCTGCCGACCCTCTTCCCCTGCTGCAGGGTTGGGGAAACTGAGTCCCAGAACCGGAAGTCTGAGAGAACCAGTGCTCAGTTCCTGTCCTCCGAGCCGCAGATAACGTGAACACCCCGGGCCTCGAGTCGCTTGCTGTGACTCCCCGAGCGAGGCTGTCTGCCAGCCCCTCAGCCACTTCCTGGGGCTGTGTACTGCCCGCCCTGTGGGGACCTCGTGGTTTCCTGCCTTCCTGCAGTCCAGGCAAACTCAGTACCAACCGCTCCCCACAGGTGCACAGCGTGGCTCTGTCTGAGCAGGACCTGCAGCGGGAGATCAAGGCCCAGCTGACCCAGCTGCCAGAGTCGACATCTGGGCCACTCCCACGGCCAAAGGCCCGTCTGGCCGGGGCCCAAGCCATCTTTGAGGCCCAGCAGCTGGCAGGTGCACAGGGAGGCACCAGGCCTGAGGTGCCCCGCATCGTGGTGCAGCCCCCAGAAGAGCCCAGGCCACCACGGCGCAAGCCCCAGACCCGAGGCAAGACTTTCCATGGGCTCCTGACTCGGTCTAGGGGCCCCCCTATTGAGGGCCCCCCCAAGTCCCATCGAGGCTCCACCTCCTTCCTGGACACCCGATTCTGAAGGTCCCACTTCTGAGGGTACCATGGATTCAGTGTCCCCCAACCCGTTACCTGAACGGGTGATGCCAGCCTCACACATGGGCACTGCACTTTATGGCTGGGGCTTAGCGACTCAGCTGCCTTATCACCGTGGACCAACCGTAGTGCATGAACCAGGAGGCACCGGCTAGAGGTAAATGATCGAGATTTATTCAAAATTCTTGGGGTTTGCAAACCCGAAACAAGACTAAGCAATACGCAGAGTCCCGATGGAGACAGAACAGCTGAGAGTCCTGCGGTAAACAAGTTCTACTGTACATTCTTGAGTAGAACCAGTCCTGCGTTGGGGAGAGAGCCCTCTCCCAGCCGCCCGGAGGTCGGGACTGTGCACATCCGTCCCTCGGGTCTCCATTTCCCCCCAGTCCTATCCACAGGAATTCCTGCACCTCCAGGCACCGACAGGACGGTTCCGAAGCTGAAGTCCTCAGGCCACTTAACCTAAATAAAGTGACTTCCCCGTGAACACGTGTGCCAGCCTGGCGCTACTGATTTCATCTTCTCCACTCGTTCCTCACCACGGACCGTGTCAGGCACGGGATGAAGGAAGGTCACAGACGGGGTTTGGGCGCCCAGGCCCACCCTCGCCCCACAGAGCTGTCCCCTGGCAAGCACAGAAGCAATACTGAAGGAGCACGAGGGTCAGGGCAGACGCTGGGCTAAGGGACCCCAAAGGGCTCCTGGGAAGGTTTGGAGTAAAGTCTGATTTAGCAGAAGCCTGGCTGGAGTTGGGTCTGATGCCCTCCACCCCCACCAGAGACCAGCTGCCGTCCCCCCCCCCCTCTCTTCTTACAGCCCCGCCCCTCCTAGTCCGGCCTGGTTCCACCAGACACACCAAGGCTGCCTGCCCATTGGCTGCCGGAAGGTGTTTACCCACAGCAGGACCCAATGGTAGGCCGTCTTGTTTAGCCTCTTAGTGGCAGGTAGCCCCTGTGGGAGGAGGGCTCCTCAAGGGGATGCTGGGCCCAGAAGTGGGGCTCATCCCTTATTCTGCCTCTCCCCCAAGTGTGCTGCAGGACCCCCGGGGTGAGGGGGTCTCTAACCCAAGCCCACACCCCACCCATGATCCTGGTCCCATTTTCAAAGAGAGCCAGACAGGAACAAAGGCCTAGTGTTCCCAAGACAAAGGAGAAAGGTCCCAATGGCCCTGGTCCCCTCCTGAAGCCTTGTTGCAACCCCTGGGACTGCCACCATGGAAACCCCCTCCCACACTCACTCCTTGCCCCCGTGGGTGCCTGGGTCAGGAGCCATCACCAGGACAACAGGGCTGGTTCCAATGCCCGCTTGCCTCGCTGGGTGCCCATTCCCTCCCTGGGCACCCTCCCCGCAGGGGGGAAGGTAGGGGGTGGGAGGCAGGACTCAGGCGTAGAGGACAAAGCATCAGAGCCCTGCTGCAGTGGCGGAGTAGTCCGTCAGCCGTCCCAGTGGCTGGGCTGGAACCCTGCACTGCCACCAGTCAGAATGCTGTAGTGACACGGCCACAGGCTGTGGGCACGCGTGCACTCTGCATGCTGCGTGGTGCTGTGCCTGCAGGCCCTGGCACAGGGCAGAGCGTCCCTTTCCCAAGGAGCCTGGAGGAGGCATCACAGAGATCCAATCCCAGATCTGCAGTTTCCTGGGGGAAACTGAGGCTCAAGATGGGAGGGAACTTGGCCAAGGCCTCGCTGCCCATGGCAGGCCCCGGGTTTATCCCTACCCCCATGTTGGCAGCCATGAACCAGCCCCCTGCCACTGGGCACCCACCTTGGTCTGCCTTCCTGGGGGTTCTCTCCCCTGCTCCCACCCACTCCCCGGCTGGCCCAGCCTGGGTCCCAGCCCCTCTGAGAGTGGGGCAGCTGGGCCACCTGAGTTGAAAGAGCTTCCCAAGCCCTCCCTCCCTTCACCCCCACTAGGGAAGCTGCATTAATAATGACTCACCTGAAGGTCACAGCCCCCTTTCTAGAGCCTCCCCACACCCTCTCTCTGCAGGTGGACTGACAGCCTCATTAGACGAGGGAGAAATGGGGACTCTGGGAGGTTGAGTACCCAGCCCAAGGTCACAATGAGGCCAGAGCCAGCTGGGGTGCAGCGCCCTGTGCCTTGTAGACCATGCATTAGCCTTAGAGCGGGGCAGCCTACGGGATCTCAGGCACTGTAGCAGTTAGGATGGGAGGACTTGCCCCTGGAGTCGCCCCAGAACTTCTGCCCTCTGTGGGCTCAGCTCTTCCTCTGGGAGAGTCGGGGAACAGGACAGGAACAGCCTCTGCCTGGCCTAGGCATCTGTCATGAGGCTGGGAAGGGGCCATGGTGGCAGTGAGTCCCCCTGGGTATAGACCCTAGGGACAGGTGGTCTCCAGCAGGGGGCCTCCAGGTGGGGCTGAGTCACTGCCTTTTCTATCCAGGGAAGGATTTTCTGGACAGGCGCTATCATCAACCATCTGCCTGGGAGCCAGAGCCCAGGGGTCAGACAAGAAGAGCACCCCCTCCCTCCTGGGAGCACTTTCTGCACACGCTGTCCCCACAAGGCTGCACCAGCCCCCACGTGGGGAAAGGATGCCTCTCCACCAGGCACATGCAGCCCTGCCTGGCAGAGGGGAAGGGACCACTCAGCCCGGGACCTTGGTGCAGTGAGCAGCCTGTACACCCAAACGTGGTGAACGTGGCAGGCCCAGCTCCCTACGAACCTTTCTGGAAAGAGGCTCAGAGAAGGCCAGCCAGGCACCCGGGAGCACTCAGCCTTGGGGGCTGTAGCCGCAAAGGCACCAGTGAGCTATGTTGGCCTGGGTGACAGCAGTGTGGGGCAAGCAAAAAAGAAGGGCAAATGAATGCTGCCTTGGTAGGGGGCGGGCCCGTGGTCTCCATCAGCTACCCACCCCCGAGGTTCCCCACATCCCCACACTCCCGGGCTCTTAGAAGTCAGACTTGGATCTGCAAACTCTCTGCATGGGAAAGGCCCTCTCGCTCCTCTGAACCTCAGTTTCCCCCTCCAGGTAATGGGATAATTATTGCTCCCACTCCAGCCCCAGAGTGCTCTACAATCTCATGATTATTGTTCAGCTGAGCTGGGTAGCAGCCTAGGCATGGTCTCCCCTCACTTCGCTCCTTCCTGGCTCAGCTCAGCCTCCAGTGGCCTCCAGGCACCCTTGGCAAGGACAGGGCAGAGCCACCCTGCCAGCCTGCTGGGAGTGGGCACAGAACCACACTGCTCTCTGTACATGTGTGCACGTGCTCTGGCAGAGGGGAGAGCCCAGCTCCCCACTCACCAGCTGTGTGACCTGGAGCAAGTAACACCACCTCTTTTTTATGGTTGTTTCTTTCCTTTTTTAAAAATCCTCACCAGAGTGTATTTTTCCATTTATCTTCAGATGGAGTGGGAGGGAGGGAGGGAGGGAAGAGAGAGAGAAAGAGAGAGAGAGAGAGAAACATTGATGTGAGAGAGACACATTGATTGGTTTCCCCCTGCACGACCCCAATCGGCCAGGATGAACCGCAACAGAGGTATATGCCCTTGACCAGAATCAAACCCGTGACTCTTTGGTCTGCGGGGCGATGCTCTAACCACTGAGAAACCGGCCAGAGCAACACCACCTCTCTGAGCTTCACTTTCCTCATCTGTAAAAGGCAGAGACTTGGAACTGCTACCTCACAAGCGCTTGGGACGAGGTCAAGAAATGCTTGCTGTCCCGCTACTGAGCGCTCACCTTCTGCCGGCTGCTCCTTGCCCAGCCAAGCCTACGCTAAAGGGTGACCCCGGGGCCGAGAAAACCGTCTGCAGAGCTTGTGAAAAAAAACAGATAACAGGCCCCAAGTGAAGTCGCTTATGCTAAGCCACACGTTGTCACCAAACCGAGAATTAATTACAGCTTCAGCTCTTCCAGAAACGGACTCTTGAACCAGTCAATCAGGAGTCACCTGGTCAGCACTAGGGAGAGCCTGCCATCCACTAAGGACGCCATCCCAACCTTGCACCGACCAGCCTGCACTTCGGCCTGGTCACCTTCCTCACCCGCTCCCCCTGCCCATCAAGCCTTCCCTTTCACACAGCGCCTCGGAGCCCCTCTCCATCTGCTGGATTGGAAGCTGCCCAATTTACAAAGCATTGAATAAAGCCCATGAGATCTTTACAATTTGCTCAGTTGAATTTTTGGCTTTCAACTCTTGTTAAGTGTCAAAGCTCATGCCCGTCGATGACTTCCACGCCAGTCCCGAGGCCATGGCACCTCATCCCGGAGCCTGGCTGTGGACCTGGAGCTGGGGGGTGACTGAGCCACCAGCCCTGCAAAGCCGTGTGGGGACTGTGCGCTGGGCGGGGGACCCTGCCTAAGTCGCTTCTCCCCTCTGAGTGCCTCCAGGGGTAGGCAGGGGTGGGTCCTCACAGGCTGCTCCGTACACAATTGCAGAAAGGATCCCAAACTGCCACCTCTGTCCCTACAAGTGCCATGGACCCCTCAGTACCCTCCCCAGCCCAGGAGGCTCCCAGGGGGTCTCCAGGGAGTGGTCTGCGTTCCGGGGTGTAAGGTGGAGGAATTGTAACAATAGCCTACATGTTTTGGACACTGGCTTGTGCCAATCCTCACAGCCCTGTGAGGTGGGAACTGGTACCATTTTAGGCAGGAGAAAAGTGAGGTTCAGACCAGAAAGGGGGGTGCCCAGGTCCCACGCTGGAACTCGGATTGGAACCCACCTGGTATGACACACTTACATTTGAGTAGAGGGTGTGAGTCTCTGAGTGTGTTTCTTGGGGTGAATTCGTGGCTGTGAGCCAGATCTTTTGGGGTGTGCTTCTGTGGGGTAAGGATGTGTGTCTTGGGGAGACTACGGGTGTCCAGCTGACCTGGGTGTTGATGGGCAGGACAGACCCTGTAGGCACGCCCTTCCAGCCCTCAGACCCACTGGAACTCCCCCAGCCTAGCCACCCCCTTCCCTCCCAGGCCCTGTAGTGCAGAGGGTGTCCCAGGAAACCGGGACTGCCCTTGCGGGGACATCTTACTGAGTGGTCACTACTCGGCTTGGGGCTGGGAGAGGTGAGGAGAGGACCCAATGCACAGGGAGCGTGGCCAAGAAGGTCTTTCCCGGGGTCTGCCATAGGGCAGAGTAACGGGCTGGGACAGACAGCTGCAGCTCAGGACACTGTCCAGGGACAGAGCTCTGGACTGGGTGCCCCGGGGCTCTCCTGGCCGCCCCACCCCATCTCTTCCATTACGGGACATTCTTTCTCTGTCGCTGTCCTCATCTGTGTCCTTTCTTTACCGCAGCCCTAGGTCTGTGACCCTCTCTGGCGATCCCCATTCATTGGTCCCTGGTGACAGTCTGTGTCTCTGAGGATCCCAACTGCCCCTCCCTCTCCCTCGCCCTCCTGGTGCCCTGCCTCTTTCGGGTCAGGTGTTCTCCCATCCCAGGGACCCAAGATGTCCTCGGATTTCCTGACGGGTGGCGGGTTTGGGCGGGGGAGGCTGGGCGGGTCCTCTCGCAGGCGGTGTGGCCCCTGGGCCCGCACCGCCCCTGTCCAGCACTGGGCATGCCCCAGGCGCTTCTATATAAAGCAGCGCTGTCTCAGCCAGGCGCTGTGTCGCCTTGGTGCCCTCTCCAGACCCCGCCTGGTCCGCGCCACCCGCCGAGTCCCAACGAGCCTCTGCCACCCACCAGGTACCCCGGCTCCTGCTGTCGCAGGGGAAAGCCAGGGAGGGAAACTGTGGGGCAGGGGCAGGGGC